TGTGACATATGCTGTGTTGTCTCCAAGGCCATGTCAGGTAATACAGAGATGGAGGGCAGAGAGAGAGTTGTCTGTAGAAAGTTTTGGTTGTATTTACTGCCGTGGCAATCTCAAGCACAGTCCTTTACTTTTATTGCTGAAAGCAGAAAGGAGTGAAGAAATGTTAAAATAAGCTAGCAAAGAACTTGGAGTAGTTTCACACCATTACATCTATGCTTTATTTTTTCTCCTTGATAGTTCACTCTTCAGCCAAGAAAACACAGTAGCTGAAAATCAGCATTTCAGAGAACATACTGCCTGTGTCAGGCCACTGCTAAGATATAAATGAAAAATCTGTGACATTCTGAGAATCCCCTTGCCTGTGCAGCAGTGAGCACAGCCTGTTCTCAGTGCTGTGCAACAGAGCCCAGAGGTTGTGGAGCTACAAGTCACAGAGGTCCTGTATCCTGGCATAAAGATTAAAGTTACACATTCTACAGCATGGGTGGACTTGACTGAACATAGCTTTGGGGTTTTTTGTGGAGGTATCCATGCAAATGGAAAAAATGATAAAAATTCACTTTTAAAAGAGTAGTAGCCAATATAATCTTTAAATTTTGAGGAAGCATCTTTTTTTTTTTAATTACAGTTTAGAGTAAAACTGAGCTGAAAATATTTTATTGTGACCCCGCCTGGCAGCATTCCCATGGCAAGGTGTTTCCCAGAAGCTTTTGTGACTTCCAGTTAAAAGCCAAGGTACTTCCTGGCTTGAGCAGATACATGGAGTCTTGCCAGCAAGAATCTGCAGCTAAGAATCCCTTAGTTTGTGCCTTTGATTTCCTAACAGTTCTGTGTTCAGGGAGATAATCATCAATAAAGAAGTCTTCTGTATTTATTTTCATTGTTTTCTTTATTTCTTTATTCAACTGCATACTATTCAAGTAGTTGCTGTAATTTCCATTTCAGAAAGGTTTGTTACGAATACTGAGGTCTAATTTCTAGCTGATGCAACAAAAAAGAATTGTTTTTAAACCTTCAGACAATGATCTGTTGTAAAGAAAACACCCCAATAGAACAGTCTTCAACTTTGCACAGCAAATTAAGTCTTTAATTTTGCTCAGAAAATGCCTTTGGTTTCTCATATGAACATTGGGTTGTGGTCTTTTCTGTCTCCTTTTATTTTTAATTATTTCTTTGCAGGTCTGGGATTATTTTGAGATGTTTAGATAAATGCAGTAACAAGTACTCTCAAGCTGTTGGAGTTGCTTTGAATTTACATCCATATAGTGCAGTAGCAAAACATAATGAAATCAACATTGCTTGATTCACAAGGAAACATAAGGAATGACAAAAATAATGGTGATATGTCTGCAGAATGATGCTAGCACAAAGCAACACTCCAATGACAAAGATTGTCTTCCTCACAGCTGAAGGTGCTATTGATTTTTTTCTGTGCTTTTTATTTTGCCCTGATTTAAATTATGTAATCCAGACTTCCCAGTTGTCTCAGTCAGTTACTCTGGGTTAATTAGATATTTAATGGGACATTGATTTGTCTTATTTGAAGCCTAAATGAGTTTAAGAAAGCATTAATTATTCATTGATTATTTATTTAAGCTGGTCTTGAGTGGAAGTCTCAGCTGTTCTTGAAAAGTTCTTTGTGTATCTTTGACCAGAGATTTTTAGGGAAAAAAAAAGTCTTCAGGCAGTGCCCAGCAGTCTGGTGCACCTTGTCGTGCTGCTGGGGCTGAACTGGGATGTGACAGGGTTTGTTTGGAGACAGGTGTCAGTTCACATCCTTGACCTGGAGCTGGCGGATGCTGCACCGGTGTTTGTGTTACACCCCCGTGCTCTGGGTGGGCACCTCGTGGTGTGAAGGCAATTGTGAGCCCTGGTACCAAGGCAAGAACGTGACTGGCTGCCATAGGTGCTTCTGTGACTCTTTCCATCCCAGTCCCTGGGAACCTTGGCATGGGATTTAGTCTCACAGCAGGCTGAGGTTAACAGTGCTGTTGCACTTGGTTTACAGCCCCAGACACTGAAGACACAGAGAAACTCAGACATTCAGATAACTTAATTTTAAGCTGGTAGCTCCCAGGCTCTCAGTGACATAGCTGAACTTAACTGGATGGCTTTATTCTTTTTAGGTTAGGGGATATCACCCAAAAAGCCCAAATATCTGTTGTGGAGTAGGGGTTGGAATCTGGATTATCCAGATTCCAAATTAATGTCCTGTCACTGATTATACTGTCTGGAGTCTGTTGTAATTGTCTTAGACATGATCTAGAGTTTCCTTATCATGTGCAGTCTGTGATGCCTGAGAAGATATCCTGTAGTTGTGGTGGGTAGGGTTGGTGCAGGTAGAGCCTGAAATATGGTCTCTCTCAAGGTGTGAAATCCCTGCAAGGAGATGAACCCAGCTCCTGACTCTGACCTTGTCAGGTCCAGAGCAGCTTAAAACTGACATGTCCAGTGAGCTGGCTGGACTTCAGTCAGAAACATTTCAATAACCTGCTTGTAAAGGTATTTCTCTTTTATTTTTTCTGTAATTCCTGTTCTGTCCTGACTGGTAACTCTGCAAGGTCACCTCTGCCACTGAAAGGCCTTGTGTGTATTGCATGCATCCAAAGGAAAAAGCTTACAAGCAATTCCTTACAGGAGGGTGAAAGTCAATTATTCAATTTTGACCTACAATGCTAAATGGAGGCCAGTAAGACAAGCACCATAATTAGCTTCACTTAAGAGATCAGTCTGGAAATAGCAACTAACAGTATTTGTATTCATTTAAATGGCTTTAAAGTCAGAACTGGAAAGAAGATGCATCATTGGACCAGCCTTGAAAACAGTTATTTACTCTCCTGTAAAGAGCAGAGGCTTGTGTTTCAGATCAATACCAGAAGATCTGGAACCTGGTGTGCAGGATGTCAGGGTGTCCTATGTGTGTGAGGTGGAATAAGCAGGATGTTGCAGGTACAGATTGCACATTGCACCATATATACCTTAGGGAGCATTTCCCCAAATTCTTTATCCATTTCCTCTTGTGAGGAACTTTAAAAGTCCACACTGTTAACTTCAGCTTTCATCAGGCCCATCTCAGGCTGTCTGGGCCTGAGAGGGAATTTTGCTCATAATAATTTAATTAGTTAACAGTCCTCTCTACATTTGTCTTTTATTCTTCCTTCCTTTCCTTCTTTCTTTCCTTCTTTCCAATATATTTCTGTGGTTGCCAGTGAACAGTTTTGTTTGTAAGAATTATAACTTCCACTCCAGAAACAGTATTGCATTGCAGACTATTAGATGAGGTTCACTCAAGGTAAGGCATTCAGTGAGCTTTTACTTCACTGGAGCTGCTAATTGAAATACTGGTTGGCATTACCAGCTGAATTTTCTTCACCAGGATGGGCTGAATAACTGCTCAGGGGAAATAGTTTAAGTGAGGCTACCAGAGAAAGAGGTATTAAAAACTTTGAGCTTGAGTAGAAGAAATCAACCATTTTCTTTGAAGTCTGGGGTTGGATATGAGTGGTGATAGGAAGAAGAGCACAACAGTTACCATATTAGTCTGGCTGGACTTATAACAGAAATTCCTTGGAATATTTTTTATTCTCTATTCTTGGTTCTATTAATTCCCTAATCACATATTCCACTTTTTTATTATTAATCTTGTATTTATGTAATGCAAAATGATAGCAGTATTTCCTCAGTAAGGCATTTATAAAGGAGAGTAATGTAAAAGGAGTTCATGGAGTGGTGAGGCTTTTCTTCTAGAAATCCACTGAAGAAGGGGAGGGATCTGGTGCAGTAAATATGAGCAAGGTATCTGTTATATTGCTGCATAAGCAGGAACCTGAAAAACAGCATAGTCCTGGCTGGGGTGATGCCAGGAACTGATCAGGAAAGGAAAAGATCTCGAGAAAATTCTGAAGATGTTTTCCAGTGACAGTGAGAGTGATGTATCAGCACTCAGTCCTTTGCAGGCCAGGAAAAGTGGGACAGGAGTGGTAAAAAGACAGAGGCGTGGGTAGAGGTATGTTTTCTCTTGAAATGTTCTGATGAGCACCACTAGTTCGAGAACAATATTACAAGGAGGAAAGCTTCCTACTGCTAGAATGGGATGTGGGAGGAAGAATTAAAGGAACATAGGTTTGTTTGGGAACATTCTGGGTAATACTTTCCACTTCAAACAGTTCAGCTGAGATCAAATCTTGCTCCAGCTTACACCCGTGCATTTCTGTTAGGGCCCCAAGCTGCCACATCTGAAGAGAAAGTTAAACATGTTTTACAGAAGCCAAATGTGGAGCAATTAAACTTTTATTACAACAATGAAATCCACAAACTTTCCCTGTTCCTATCCAAGCTCTGCTCTGGGTGGTTGGGTAGCTGATTACCACTGCCTGGAATTGTGTCTCCCTGACAGTATTGCAAATACACGGGTAATTTCTGCCTATTCATAGTATCTCTAATTTGCCTGCAGAGAGTAATTTTTGCTAGAATTGATGGGAGTAGAGACAAATAATATTGGCTTATTTTCTCTTCAGAAGTGCTTTCCCTGCATTAGGTGTCTGCTGTAGCAAAAAGAAGATGTTTGTAGTTTATTTTTAGTGTAGTCATTTGCATACAGACTATCTGGTTCATCTGGTTTCCCAGAACTTGCTTTGGAATTGCTTTCCTTCCATGCTTTTTTGCTTGGATTGTATACTTTCTTGGATTAAATTAGTTTGTACTTTTCCTTGTGTGCTTATCCAATGGTTTGCACACATTCATGCTCTTGGAAAGAAAATGGAGGGAGTTTTTCCTCATCTTTCTGTAGCAGCCTCAATGGAAAGAAGTAGTAGTTGATGGGAATATCTTAAAACTACTAGTTTACAAAAAGAATATATTTAAATAAAATGGTGGTAACTTTTTAGATGAGCATAAATCATGACCAGATGGTGTAAAGTGTCTGAGAACACAGAGTTTTGTATAGGAGAAAATACTCTTTTTGTATGGGTTGAAATATTTTTTGTTTGCTTGCTTTACAGTGGCCCATGCTCAGGAGCCCCATCACCCCTCTGAAAAGCCAGTCATCCACTGCCACAAATGTGGGGAGCCTTGTAAAGGTGAAGTGCTCCGAGTTCAAGCCAGGCACTTCCACATCAAATGCTTCACCTGCAAAGGTAAAATTTTGATATTCATCTATTAGAAGTGACTCAATTTGTACAAATGTGCCTTGAACCACTGATGGGAGGTTGTGCTTCCTGCCATCAACCCATTACAAATCTTCTCTTTGCTCAGTACCTGAGGGATTTGAAAGTGGGAAGGGTAAAGAAAGATGGGGATACTTAGGAAAATTCTATCTTTTTGTAGTTTTTGGTCTAAGTGCTTTTTCAAGGATCTGGAATTTTATTTTTAAACTCTTAATAGCAGTGACTGTCTTTTATTAGGGATAGTTAAGGAAAGTAAGGTCCTTTGTACTCAATTGACTGCTGAAAGTACCTGCTTTCAAAAAACCCACCAGAAAGGTTCTGCAAAGGTGTTCTAAGGCTTTGTGTCAGGGAAATGCCTTGGGAATGGAGATAGTGCTGCCCATTCCACGGAGAGAGGACCTGAGGGGCTCTTGGCAACTCCAGCTCATGCCACTGAGCCCTCTGTGACCACAACAAAGACTCACTGTGTTTTTTTACAAAACAGAGGTTTGACGAAGCGTTAAATAATTGTAAAACTATGCTTTGTGAATTCATTGCCTTTGAAGATTGGTGCCACAGAGCAGGAGGCAACCCTGGCTCCTTCATAGAGTTTCTGTTTAATGAGCAAAATTGCAAAGTTGGCTGAATTGAGTAACCACAAAACGTGGGATGAAAGGTGAGAATAAGGATGAATGCCCAGGTCCATGTGCATCCACTGTCTGCCACAGTCAGTCCCAGCTTAGTACAGAAAGGGATTCAGTCTCCAGGTGAATGTGGCAGAGCTGGTGGCAAACATGGAGAAAGGTGCTGGAATAAATCAGATTAACTGGGCAACTAAAACTCACAGCAGAATCAATACCACATAGCTTTTCACTTCTATTAAACACAAGTTATTTTTTATGAAAGTCCATATCTAGCATCTGTACTGCAGATTCAGACTTTGAAAAGTGTCTCCAGCCCAGTTCCTGAGTTTCAGTTATATTTTTTATGTTTCAAATGTGGGTGGAATAGTTGTGTGGTTGCTCTGTTCTTCCACTTTCTGAATATATGGAATATAGCAGAAAATAGAAATTATTGTTTTCCTATGTTACTAAAGGTTTAGTTTTAAATGTCACTTGAGTTATTTATATGCTGAAAAATCAGTGTCTAGAACCTAAGAAATGGTTTATTAACTGTGTTTTTTAGTTAAATACAACTAGATAACAAAAAAAAAGCTTACCCTTCACCTGTACATTAGCATTTTTTCTGTGCCAGTCTGGAGTGGCATCAGCCCATCCTAGATGGCACCATGGAGCTGTCTGCCCTATTTCTGGAATGCTTGGGGCAATGCATATCTCTTTCTCTATTACAGCTGCCGTATTTCAAGCAGTACTTGATGCCATATAATCCCTGAGCAGTTCAAAACCAGCAATTTGTTTATTTTCCTGTTCCTGTCCATAGTGAGTAGTGGTCTCAATTTACAGAAGATACTGGATTAGGGTATTTTCAGCATCAGGCCACCTGAAACCTTTTGAGTCACAAAGGAGAATGGTAATTCAGGCCAGGCAGCAAACAGTGTCCTTAGGACCTCCTGATAAAGAAGGGGGCAGATGGAGCAGGGCTTTGGAATTGTCCTGATGAATGCACCACATTAATCTTGCTTTTTTTAGGAGGGGTGAGGTCTACTTTCTTCTTTCACTTGTGTTTTAGTTACTTACTCATAAGCTGCTTTTTTGCTTTGACTATTCTGTTGCAAGACTGGATTTACTAGTATACCGTTTTGTTTTTTGTTCTTTCCTTCCCTAGAGGAATGTCTAAACTTATTGTAGCTTCTGTTTATGGAGACATTTCCAACCTGATGAGGTTTAGTTTAAGATTCTATAATAATATTGACCTTATGTGTGCTTGCATGAAGAAGGGAGAGAGACCCTTGGGAGAGCTATAGAAATAATTCTTTCTGGGGAAAATGAAACTATAATTTGTACCATTAGCTTGTTAAGGAAATGGAGGAAAGTAAATCCAGTTTGAACTGAGAAGGGCCAGAGCTGAATGCTAGAGACTGTTCTCATGCTGTTCATTCAGTCTGTGCCTTATTACTTGGGTTTGTTTTCTGAGTGTTATCTTTTTAGAGTTCATTTGTCTTCACAGAGAGAAAGGAGAGGGGTGTGTGGGAGGTTGCTCCAAGTCCTGTTTTGAATCTTTTACCTGAGCTGCAGATTTTGTTTATTGTTAGCCTCTGTTATTTGAGTGAGTGCAGTTTTTGTTTAAACCATACAGTTATTTACTGACATTGCATGTTGTCTGACCATATGGTTTATACAAGTGGGACACAGCTGTTCAAGTAAGTGTTTTTTTCCCTCTTAGTCTGATGGGTTTTTAATATGACATGACTGCAATTCAACAGGAGGTGGAGTTAGACCCCCCTCAGTTTATGAAGTGTGTTGTTAGGCAGCAAAACCAACAGATACTGGGACCAGGATGTATCAGCTGCATCTACAGGTGGCTTGGTTATCTTTTTCTCTTTTGTGTACTAAACTTTGCTCTTGAGGCTACAACTCACATCTGTCATGTGAAAGACCTGAACAAGCTCATACTTGTCTGTTTTCATACATGCTGAAAGTGTTTAAACTTTTATCCACAGACTTAGAAGATGTGGAAAAAATCCATTTCTTGATAAAGCTGTCACACAAGTCACAGAGTTTGTGTGATCCTGTTCTTTGCTCTGTATGAGAGTCCTTTTTATTATTGCCATCCACGCTCTCAACTTTGTTTTTACATCATACTGTTAAGTGTATTTGATATGCCTGTAGTCCTGCTTCCCTGGGTTGTGTCAGGGGCTCTTAGGCACTCTGTGACTGCTTGGTTTGCATGTCAGTGGTGGCTGTGGCACTGCAGGAGCACGGTGACTTTTGTCTCCATGAGCATCAGCCAGCTCGGGCCGTGCTCGTGTGTCACCTAACGTGAGCAGAACTCGCCCTCCCCACAGCTTGGTGCTCTGTCCATCTCTGGAATCTTTCTAAGAACAGGGGAACTGCTTCCTGCCAAGGATGACAAGTAAAACCTCCCCTGACTGACGTGTTCCCGTGCCCCATGATAAGATGGAGCTTGCAGGACTCTGCCTTGGCGAGCCAAGTGTCCCCAGCTGCCGTGTCCTGTCTGCCTGCCAGGGCCACCGCTTCTATTTGTGGCTCCCGATAAGAGCTGATAGGAAAACAAGAAAGCTGAAAATGGTGTGGCTGTCCCCAGGAAGGTGAGCTCTGCCATCCTTCTGATAGGCAAAGAATTTCAGGCAGGCAGCAGCTGACTGGGAGCTGGAGTTAACAGGGGAATGATGGACAGAGGAGGGATAAGAGACATTCAGGAGTGCAGCTCCAGGAACACCATTCAGAGCAGTTCTTTGGCTGTTTCATAACAAAGTCCCTTAGCTTGCAAGGGAATTACACTGGTTGGTGTTAAAAATGCAAATGTAATAGGAGTCTGCATTACCTCCAGGTGTAATAAATAAGCTTTAAAGTCTGTTTTAGTAGGAGTACACTTCTTATCATACCAAATTGTTAATCTTTACGAGGCAATGGAAACAGCAGGCTGAGAGGAGATAAGAGATAAGGAGGTTGAGCTGAAGACATCATTGGGTTTGTCTCAAATAAACATTACCATTTACAAGAATTAAGAAGTGGCTTATGAAGAAGTAGAAGTTTTTCTTGTAAGCATCTATGTACATGAACAACTTTTCTGGAAAAGCTAAGACTACTCACTGCAATGCTGTTCCATATGTAAATGTGTGTGGGATCAGGCCCTAAATTACAATGTGCATGAGCAGAGATTTTAATATCTCAAATTGTGATCTGATACAAATGATAATCTTCTACCATTGTCATTTGATTACAGTTCACTTTACCCTATTGCATGTACTAGCAGAGGAAACTTGGAGGCTAGCAAAATTGCTATAATAAGGCTTTATTATTAAGCCTGTGATTCATCTTTTGGGTTAGAGGGAAAAGCTGGTTTCAGTACATTGTATTGCTTAACAGAAAAAGCTTTACACTTTCATAGTAACGATGTAAAAGTTTACATAGCTTGATTTTGGTACATGGAGAGATTGCTTGAATTATCTTAACAAGATAGGGTAGTGTTTGTGGTAGGAGTGTTTCAAATACTAGATTCATGATGTCAAATATGAATTTGAAGATTTAGACTTTTTATAGTAATGTAGATTTAACGAAAATTTAATCTCATAAATGAACAATCCTGCCATAGGAATATGGATGGCGTCCTTAAGTTTTTCAGTCCTCACTATCACAGAATCATGGAACGGTTTGGGGTGGGTGGGACTTTAAAATCATACAGTTCCAGCCCCTCTGCCATGGGCCAGGCTGCCAAATCACTAGAGCAGGTTGCTCAAAGCCCTGTCCAGCGTGGCCTTGAACACTTCCAGGAATGGGATATCTGCAATTATGTGGAATAAAGGTCAGGTGAAAATATTTCACTGTGTATCAATGTTTCACATGCTACAGTGATATCAAATATCAAATGGCAATTACCTGCTAATAATCTTGCTAATTATAAGGCAAAGCCAAATCTTGGCATTCAGGAAGCATTCCACAAACCCAGAGTATTCCACAGGGAAAAAAAAAATTAAACTTCTATTAAAACATTGTTATAAACCAGCATAAAGCAGTTTCTTAATTATGGAATAAATGTGGTGATTTTCCTCTCTTCAGTTAGGTGTCTCTCGAGCTTAACTTGCAGAATCCTCTGTGGTATGTTTAGGTTCCAGGCACAGGTCTGGGTTTTTTATGAGATGACTTTTCAAGGCTACATCATCTGTAGTTGAATGAGCCTGGCAGGGAAGGGGGAGGCTTCCTAAGTTTAGATTTTGGGATGCTCTGTAATCTTTGACTTTGAACTGGATCCTTCTCCCTTGAAGTACTGGGAAGAAGTCAGGGTCATGTAAGCAGACACTATATCAACAGGCTGGAATGTGTTTTAAATCATTAGTTCTTTGACCTTTG